CCTAATTGTGTTATATCTAATTTACAAATCTCAAAAACACATAGCCCGCACATTTTCTCCATAGATGTATATAGGGATGACATTGGACTGAAACGAGGGTGGGGGATGTAGTCTCCATTGCCGTACCCGCTTAAAAAAATTCGTTCATATCCGTTAACGGGTATAGTTTTCATTCTCATTCCTGTCCATGGGTAAATTTGTAATCCTCGCCCCCATCCGCCTCCTTTATCTTCGTCCCCACCCTCATCTGCCTTACCCGCCAAGCCCAACCTAACATAATTCAAAATTCTAAATAAATCTAACATTATAAATAATTTAACATAATTATAGAATATCATAACATAATTAAAAAGTTTGTCATTTACAACATAATATAATTAAAAAATTTTTACAACATAATATAATTAAAAGTTTGTCTCCCTTGTAAATCCAACATAATATCATGCAATACAACATAATAGAATATAACATAATCTAACATAAAAAAAATATAAAAACACAAAGATGTATAATTTTACAAACCAAAACCATGAAAAAAAATCAAAAAATAAAATAATTTCCTAAATAAAAAATCATTCAATAATATGTAGATTTCACAACAACATATATATAATAATAGTAATAATAAAAATGGGTAAAGTGGGACGGGGGAAAGGGGCCGGAGACGGGATGAGGGTAAATGTCAGTCTATCATTGTTTTCATTACTGCACGGGTTTATACGAGTATCGTTGCATACGTCCATCGTTCAATATGTATGATCTATCCTCGATCCAAATGGGACGGATTTGAACGAATACCCATTTCTATCCGATCCATTGTCATTCCTAGATGTATGTAGTTGCATAACATCACTGTTTTAATTAGCTTTGGTGTGTAATGATTCATGTCTTTACTACACATTGTATTAATTATTTATACTCGGCTACCAAATAGTTTGAGGGGATCGCTAATTCACTCAATTTGTCTCCTTTTTTCCTCAGCAAGATTTATATTTCATGATGTTTTGAAATATTTTTGAAATATCTTCGAAACGTCTCCGTTTCTTACGTAACTGAAAAAAATACAACAAAAATTTTTTTTTTGATAATAAACCATTCGACCAAAAAAAGAAAAAGAAAAATCCTAAACCACAACTACATCCCACCCTTCTCCTCGTTTTTCCTTTGCTTATTTTGCATTTCTAAAGTCAACACAAAAATTCCAGCACACTATTCTTTGGTCTGAAAAGAAAAAAAAAGCTCGAAAAAGTGTAAATCACAACATTTATAATTTTTCTTTCACTCTTNTAAAATAATTTCCTAAATAAAAAATCATTCAATAATATGTGGATTTCACAACAACATATATATAATAATGGTAATAATAAAAATGGGTAAAGTGGGATGGGGGAAGGGGGCCGGAGACGGGATGAGGGTAAATGTCAGTCTATCATTATTTTCATTACTGCACGGGTTTATACGAGTATCGTTGCATACGTCCATCGTTCAATATGTATGATCTATCCTCGATCCAAATGGGACGGATTTGAACGAATACCCATTTCTATCCGATCCATTGTCATTCCTAGATGTATGTAGTTGCATAACATCACTGTTTTAATTAGCTTTGGTGTGTAATGATTCATGTCTTTACTACACATTGTATTAATTATTTATACTCGGCTACCAAATAGTTTGAGGGGATCGCTAATTCACTCAATTTGTCTCCTTTTTTTCTCAGCAAGATTTATATTTCATGATGTTTTGAAATATTTTTGAAATATCTTCGAAACGTCTCCGTTTCTTACGTAACTGAAAAAAATACAACAAAAATTTTTTTTTTGATAATAAACCATTCGACCAAAAAAAGAAAAAGAAAAATCCTAAACCACAACTACATCCCACCCTTCTCCTCGTTTTTCCTTTGCTTATTTTGCATTTCTAAAGTCAACACAAAAATTCCAGCACACTATTCTTTGGTCTGAAAAGAAAAAAAAAGCTCGAAAAAGTGTAAATCACAACATTTATAATTTTTCTTTCACTCTTTCCCTTGAGCAAACAATGAACCCATTATGTTAGTAACCAATAAGCGAGAATATATTTTTTTTCTTAATTTTCAGATGAACATAAATTTAATTTTGAAGTTTAATAGTTTACAATGCCCCAATTTTCACTAAGACCAAAATCTAACTAGGGGTTTTAGTGTAACTTCAGAAGTAAATGTTGATTTTCTCACAAAATCAACAGCAAAGTTGACCAAAAAAAAAAANAATCCACTGTCATTCCTAGATGTCCGTAGTTGCATAACATCACTGTTTTAATTAGCTTTGGTGTGTAATGATTCATGTCTTTACTACACATTGTATTAATTATTTATACTCGGCTACCAAATAGTTTGAGGGGATCGCTAATTCACTCAATTTGTCTCCTTTTTTTCTCAGCAAGATTTATATTTCATGATGTTTTGAAATATTTTTGAAATATCTTCGAAACGTCTCCGTTTCTTACGTAACTGAAAAAAATACAACAAAATTTTTTTTTTTTTATAATAAACCATTCGACCAAAAAAAGAAAAAGAAAAATCCTAAACCACAGCTACATCCCACCCTTCTCCTCGTTTTTCCTTTGCTTATTTTGCATTTCTAAAGTCAACACAAAAATTCAAACACACTATTCTTTGGTCTGAAAAAAAAAAAAAAAAAGCTCGAAAAAGTGTAAATCACAACATTTATAATTTTTCTTTCACTCTTTCCCTTGAGCAAACAATGAACCCATTATGTTAGTAACCAATAAGCGAGAATATATTTTTTTTCTTAATTTTCAGATGAACATAAATTTAATTTTGAAGTTTAATAGTCTATAATGCCCCAATTTTCATTAAGACCAAAATCTAACTAGGGGTTTTAGTGTAACTTCAGAAGTAAATGTTGATTTTCTCACAAAATCAACAGCAAAGTTGACCAAAAAAAAAAGAAGTAAAAGGGGTGTAGCTGCAGTTGTGAAAAAACTTAAGGGGTATAATTGTAATTTACCAAAAACAAAATAAAATTCGGGGCGAATGGAGCTTTCCACAGCGCTTATTCTAAACCATTCTCTCTCCGCGGTCGCGACTCGCCTTCTCTTTCCTTTTACTGTGCGAAATTTGGGAAAGAAGTTTCCTTCTTACGAAGCAGCNCTTTTTTTCTCAGCAAGATTTATATTTCATGATGTTTTGAAATATTTTTGAAATATCTTCGAAACGTCTCCGTTTCTTACGTAACTGAAAAAAATACAACAAAATTTTTTTTTTTTTATAATAAACCATTCGACCAAAAAAAGAAAAAGAAAAATCCTAAACCACAGCTACATCCCACCCTTCTCCTCGTTTTTCCTTTGCTTATTTTGCATTTCTAAAGTCAACACAAAAATTCAAACACACTATTCTTTGGTCTGAAAAAAAAAAAAAAAAAGCTCGAAAAAGTGTAAATCACAACATTTATAATTTTTCTTTCACTCTTTCCCTTGAGCAAACAATGAACCCATTATGTTAGTAACCAATAAGCGAGAATATATTTTTTTTCTTAATTTTCAGATGAACATAAATTTAATTTTGAAGTTTAATAGTCTATAATGCCCCAATTTTCATTAAGACCAAAATCTAACTAGGGGTTTTAGTGTAACTTCAGAAGTAAATGTTGATTTTCTCACAAAATCAACAGCAAAGTTGACCAAAAAAAAAAGAAGTAAAAGGGGTGTAGCTGCAGTTGTGAAAAAACTTAAGGGGTATAATTGTAATTTATCAAAAACAAAATAAAATTCGGGGCGGATGGAGCTTTCCACAGCGCTTATTCTAAACCATTCTCTCTCCGCGGTCGCGACTCGCCTTCTCTTTCCTTTTACTGTGCGAAATTTGGGAAAGAAGTTTCCTTCTTACGAAGCAGCATCGCCGCCTCTCTCTATAAAATCGTTGCGATTCATCTGTGAGATTTCCCAATCTCGATCGCCTATGAGAAAGAACGATTCGCTCTAATCGACGGTTAGAGTTTCTATATTTCTCTTTGTATTCGCTTTCTAGGGTTTCCTACTCGAATCTTTTCTCTATTTATGCAATTCGCGAGCTTCAAACCGCATAAAAAGTAATTTCTGGTTAGTTACGCACGTTTTCTCTGTTTAATTTTTATATTTGTTTGTAAGATCTGCGTGGAATTTGGGCTAGAGCCTTGAATTGTTAATTTCGTGATTTTTGATAAAAAAAAAAATAAAAAATTTGGTTGGTGAATTTGGTGATTGTAAGGGGGGGGTTTGCTATTTAGAGACCGCCGGTCGATATTGGAGGTAGATAAATGGCGGCTGGAAGACATGGTAGTTACCGTGACAATGAATTTAGGGGCAGTGAGTCAGATTTGAATATGAATGTGTCACGGAGGGAATTTGGTTATTCGAAAGGAGGTTATGATCGAATTAGGAATGGTGATCGTGACCATGAGAGGGGTCGTGTTCGGGACAAGGATAGGAGAGATAACAGTAGGCTTAGGCAGAAGGATATTAAAGAGAGGGAAGTGATGAATGGTGGGTACGGTTATGCTTCAAGTAGGAGCGATTCTGGGAGTAGTGGTAGTGGTGATGGACGCAGGCAGTGCGGGTTTGCACTTAGAGTTACGGGGGCTGTGGATCGAGAGCCTGGGGAGCTGTCTAGTGATGGGTCTGATGGGGCTGCTGAATCAGAATTGCAGTTTAAAGATAACGAGGTGATGAAGTTTGAGATTGGTACTCAGATTGAGTCTCCCGTACAGAGTAAGAAGAGGAAGTTTTCACCAATTGTTTGGGACAGAGATGACAAGGAAGTGAGCAAAACATCCAAGATTAAAAATTCTCCTGGAACAACTACTCTTCCTCCTCCACTACCCTTGCTTAATTCATATCGCCAGTCACCTAACCGTATTCTTGATGGGGGTGTGCAGATTTCTCCCATTAAAGACATTGTCCTTCAGGGCACAGAACCATCACCAGTCAATCCTCCTGTGGCACATGAAGCTCAAGTTGCTGCTGCATCTGTATCCCCAGATGGGTTATCTTCTTCCCCGCTTCAGGAAGAGCACTGGGGTAACAATCAGGTAGCAGAACAACTAGATGGTGATGGTAACATGCCAACGCGATCTATAAGAGCCTCTCGATGGGCAAATGATGTCAATTCCCCAGCAGATGAAGTTGAAATTTCCAAAGATGAAGATGTGCCTAAAATAAAAAAGAAGTTCCTTTCCAAGTCGGTTGAGTTGAGGGTACGCAAGAAATCATTGAGTCCTGAGATTGGGGAGCTCAGGAGAGAAGGTTCTGAAGAGACTAGGGCGAGGTCATCTGAATCTGATGGATGCGCTAGGTCTTCCAGTAGAGATGCCAATATTTTGGACATGAATGACTTTATGGAGATAGATGAGGATCGATATGATGATGATTCTAGTGTTAGTCAGTCGGATACTGGTTCTGAGGATGAACCTGATTCTCATGGTACAACTGAGCCCTCACTAGCCCCACAAAGGAGCGTGAACATGCTTCAGGGTTGTAGAAGTGTTGATGAGTTTGAGAGACTAAACAAGATAGATGAAGGAACTTATGGGGTTGTTTACAGAGCGAGAGATAAGAAAACCGGTGAAATTGTTGCACTCAAGAAGGTCAAGATGGAGAAAGAAAGAGAAGGGTTTCCTTTGACTTCTCTAAGGGAAATAAACGTTCTGCTTTCATTTCATCACTTTTCAGTTGTCGATGTTAAAGAAGTTGTTGTAGGAAGCAATCTTGACAGTATTTTTATGGTCATGGAATACATGGAACATGATCTCAAGGGACTGATGGAGACAATGAAACAGCCATTTAGTCAGAGTGAAGTGAAATGCCTTATGCTTCAGTTGCTGGAGGGTGTCAAGTATCTGCATGACAACTGGGTGCTTCACCGAGATCTGAAAACATCTAATCTGCTTTTGAATAATCGCGGTGAGTTGAAGATCTGTGATTTTGGGTTGGCTCGTCAATATGGTAGTCCATTGAAGCCATATACTCATTTGGTGGTCACTCTGTGGTATAGGTGAGCTCCACTTTTCTTTTCTTTTTTTGCACATTTTGAAATCTTCTATTCTACATGATAATTTCCTGATCCTGTTGTTTGTTGCTCCATCATGTTTTCTGGTCTCATCTGATGTCATGTTTGTTCATTTAATCATGGAGCAGCGTTGTCTTTGTTGGATACTATTTTTGAGGAACCACAAATTTGCAATGGCTATGTCTTTTACTTGGTCCTGTTGTTTGTTGCTCCATAAGTTTGTAATGTGAATAATGACAGAAAAGACTGATTCATGGTTGATGCTATCATTTTTGTGCATGTTATCCATCTATTGTCAGTTGCGAGGTACCTAGTCCCTGTGCATTTAAGCTTCATGGGATTGTTGGTTCTGTTTGATTTTGAATGCATATATGATCTAATCCTCCACAAGGTGGTTATCTTACTTTTTTATTTGATAAAAAGATTTGACTTATTGATGTACTTAAATTTTACAGGGCACCCGAGCTTCTTTTGGGAGCAAAACAGTATTCTACAGCAATTGACATGTGGTCATTGGGTTGTATTATGGCTGAACTGTTATCAAAGGAACCATTATTCAATGGGAAAACTGAGTTTGATCAACTTGATAAGGTACATAAGCTAACTGACTTATTTTATCCTAATTAATTCTAGAAACAAGCTCTGAATGTTTCATTTCACCTTAAAAACTAGCATTGGCGCTAACTCAATTAATGTTTTGTGGGCTTCAATTGACTGCAGATTTTCAGAACACTTGGAACTCCAAATGAGACAATTTGGCCTGGGTTTTCTAAACTTCCTGGAGTGAAGGTGAAATTTGTCAAGCAACAGTAAGTATCCTGTTTAAGTTCAAAATTTAACAATGTTGTTTGTGACATTTATGTTTTCTTATTTTTCCCACTGTTTTCCCAGGCCTCCAGTTTGGTGATTCTGGTCTGGTTTCTGGCCTCCATTGGTGACAATTTCAGGTCACAGCTAGTATATAATGTTTCTATTAACCAGTTATCTATTTCTTTCAGGTACAATCTATTGCGAAGGAAATTTCCCGCTACCTCATTCACGGGATCACCTGTTCTTTCAGATGCTGGATTTGATTTGTTGAACAAATTACTAACTTATGACCCTGAAAAGGTACTTTCTACGACATTGATACACATTCCAGTGAAAGTATTACAAATTGCTATAATTTCTTGTTTGAGCATTTACATGTTTCCCTTGTAAATGTGCAGCGGATAACTGCTGAAGCTGCTCTTAATCATGAGTGGTTCAAAGAAGTACCTCTTCCCAAGTCTAAAGACTTCATGCCTACTTTCCCTGCTCAACATGCTCAAGACAGGTATGGTAATCTTGTAATTGAAAATGCCTGATTATGAATATAGGGGTTTTCTTGAACTTTCAAAGCTGAAATTATTTTTCTTGTTATATATAGGCGTATGCGAAGAATAATGAAGAGTCCAGATCCTTTAGAAGAGCAGCGACTGAAGGAGTTGCAGCAAGGGGAACTAGGGACAGGTGGTTTATTTGGCTGTGTGGAAAAATAGGTGCCTATTTTTGCTTTAGTTTTCTGCAGTTGTCAGAGGTTGACATGGTTCAGGTGAGGACCATGCCTTGAAAGGAAGTTGCAAATATTGTTAGTGAGGCGGTCATTCGTGCTTGTTTTTTAGCAGGCTTCCTGGATGACTGGGTGGAGAAACATATTCTATTGCCTCTACATGCCAAGCAGATATGTAGCAGGTTGACTTTGTTCACGAGGTCATTATATAGAAATGCATATGTGGCACTGCTTGCATCGCAAGGTGTGGCATATTGGCTTTTCTTTTAAGGAACAGTTCCAGTTTAAACTTTTGTTTGTAACATATTTTCATTATCACATTGTAAACAATTCTCTTAAAATTTGTTCTAAATACCATGTTAGTGTGGATTTTCTTCCTATTCTCAGTTCTTCCATTTTTAATCTTCATATTGTGTTTGCAAGAGACGGTTGGTGTAAAGTGGATGGGGCATTCTTAGCCTTTCATAGACGAGGAAGTTGGCACAAACTATTGCACTTCAAGGTAAACGATTAAATCTGGCATACATGAATAGGATCAATAACTTTACTTCCCTTCTCTCCAGAATATCTAATTTTTGCGAGTACACTGTTGTGTATTCCCCTCATGCTTGATGTGATACTTTCTCTCACAACATTAATCTCTGACATCTTTGCACTGGGAGCTACAAATGCCTTGCCTAATGGGTAGTGACAAAATGGTTTCTTGAGACCCATATGCCTCCTTAATCACTGGCTATTCTACACTCTTTACCTGTCAATAATAGTATTTGAAATGGTGTATTTGGGACTACGGTTTTATGAAGGGTGAATGCGTTGGAAAATGCATGAATCCAGTAAAGTCTTGAGTCATTTAAGTAAACAAATAAGCAACCACTTGTGACTTATGGGCATATGGGCTTGATAATGAAATTACAAAGAAGTTAACAAGTGAAATGAATATGAAGAAATTTAATTTCCAGGGACAGTATAACTAGCCTTAGTTCCCAAGTAAAATTAAATCCAATTTGACTATCTGCACTGAAGATGATTGGAAATTGTTCTGAAAAAATAATTGTTGAGGATTTGCATATTATGAACATGTCATTTATTGAACTCAACATGGAAATGCACATCCTGATGGGCTTGATACCCTGCTTGGAAAATATCACTAGGTGTATGAACTCTTTCTTTTGTAGCATGAAGTGGTAATGTGGCTTGAGGTTCGGTTTCTGCATCATCGTATAGAGCTTCTGTTGTAACAAGGTTAAGCTTATGAACCAAGCATTTTGGAGACTTAATCAAATATTAGTAGGATTTTTTCAGTTTAGTTGTTCTGCAGCCTTGATGCTGGTTTGGCAGAAGACAAACTTTTGCATATTTTTTTTGTGGATATGGGTGTTTTTCCCCCCCAATTGTTCAAGCTTGCAAGTTTACNTCAGTTTAGTTGTTCTGCAGCCTTGATGCTGGTTTGGCAGAAGACAAACTTTTGCATATTTTTTTTTGTGGATATGGGTGTTTTTCCCCCCCAATTGTTCAAGCTTGCAAGTTTACCTTTGAGAGAGTAGTTTTGACTAATTCACTGACATGCTTATATGTACGGAGAAGAACTAGAGATTAGCTATATATTTGTTCGTTTGCTTTTATGGTGTGGAAGAGTAACCTCTAAATATATCCTGAACTTCTAGTCATTTGTCTACAAATGTCACTGCAGTAACAACTACCAAAGCAAGCAGGTTGAGGAGGTTACCTGCATTCCTGGAATTTATAGAATTTCCAATTAATATTCCCTTCTTCAGATATTGATTTTGCCCCTTCAGGCCCAATACAGGTACATTACAAACCTTTTTTTGTTACTGTGTGTCCGAGTAACTCTGTTGATTATTTCATATTTCGTCAGTAGTCTTGCTTTTGTTTTGGGAGATTCTCTTGTGGCATAATTGCATTTGTCCTCTCGTGATATGTAAGTACGCCAGTAGGAGTACCTAGGATGCATTTTCTTTTTTGTGCATAATTTGTGGAAAGACCAAAAGATGTCATGTTGCTGGGTTGCATCTCATTGAAATTTACATTGATTTCAGTGTATACTATGCTTTTTTTTTTTTGGGGTCATTGTAACTATGCTTCTTAAGTTGGTATGATTTTGTGATATTAAGTAGCCACTGATTATCTGACTTCAAGGTGGTTCTTGAACTGACTCAAGGAAGGATATGCTAGTCGAATGATGTTGAAATAAAAGTTAGAAAAAGGACAGCCCACCGCACAAGGCTCCTACCACTTCTGGATAGCATTTTAGGCAATCTGATGTCTCTTTAGAGTGATTTTGGATTATGGAATAGCATGGAATACATTACTAGTATGTTTAATTGAGAAGTTATTGGAGTATCTAGGTGCCATTGACCTGTCTAACCTCACTTTGGTTTTTTGATTTGGATTAAACAAGTACAGAACATGCCGAAATACCTTTAAAATCCAATGTGAAACTTTCTTTTCTGATGCATGGCAGAATAGCCAATCCAGATGACACACTGATTAAAGCAATGATATGCCATCTTTTGGGTAATACCCGGGATCAGGGATTTAATAGTTTCAGCCTGATGATATGAATTTATTTGAGTTGACCATTAACTTGATTTCACTAAGTCAGGAATGCTGTACTGGTAGTTACTGCATCGGAGTGAGAATATATATACAGAATCTTAAATTTTCATTTTTCATTATACAAAACGGTTGGGCAGTTAGTTTCTTCGTTAAACAAATTGACTGACATATCCTTGGGTATAATTTTATCAATTCCAGTTTTTTTGCCTTATAATCTCGTTTGGTGTATAATCTTTTTTTCACCCCCTTGGGTAGGGGGGGAGCTCTTTCTCCCTCCTCTTCTCTTTTCTGTTCTTTCTGTGTTTCTGTTTCCTATTTTCTGGGGCATTGTGTGGGTGGGGGTGTGGTATGGCACTTCTTATTAAAGTTAAATCAGATATAACATGTTTTATTAAGCATTTTTGGGCATTTCGAGTGCAAGTTTTTGTTGGGTTATTGTATTAAACCTGCTGTTTATCATCTTTGTTGCTGATCACGTCCCTCTGTTGACCCCTTGAGTATGATCAATGAAATTATGCATGCAATTTAGTTGTATTGTAGCATTTTTATTTATTGTGATACATTCATACTGGTATTGGCATTTATGTATGTAAGATGGCTTGCTTATATTATGGTGATTTGGGTGGGGTATGCATGCCAGAGACCAAGTTCCTGTTATCTGCGGTGGCTGCGAAATGCTCTTCGTACAAATGACCATCCATCAGTAGTATGAATAAACTGGTTCTGGTATCCTACTGTTAAGAGAAACCTCAATGACCTAAAAGTGGTGGTTTCTTTTGATGTCCACTTATGAGGTCCAGTCATTAGGAAGTGTGCAACTTAAAAGTATGGGGATGGTGTGTTAAAAATCTGAGGTATGGATTGTGTTGTTTGTTGTAATAATTGCTTTGATATGATGTGATCATCATATGATGGTCTCAGAGGCTAATCTGCTAAATACGATAATTACTGGGAGAAAGGCATCGCAGTTCACCATCCTATACTGTGATTGCGGATCCCTTCGTCACCACTGTCACCACAGTTTCTTTCCTTTTTTTTTTTTTTGCAGAGGGAAAGAAAAGAAGAGAAAAAAGGGGGGGGGGGGTGAGTGGGNATATGATGGTCTCAGAGGCTAATCTGCTAAATACGATAATTACTGGGAGAAAGGCATCGCAGTTCACCATCCTATACTGTGATTGCGGATCCCTTCGTCACCACTGTCACCACAGTTTCTTTCCTTTTTTTTTTTTTTGCAGAGGGAAAGAAAAGAAGAGAAAAAAGGGGGGGGGGGGTAAGTATGAGGTTAGTTTTGGTTAAGTTCTTATCACTGGCTTGAGGCTTGAGGCTGATCCTGCCCAACTTAGCACCATCGTATGTGTGATGGATTTCATTTTAAGGAGATTGCTATTCTCTCTCTCTCCCCCTCTTCCACACACACATAAGGTTATTTTGTGTTCTGTTATATTTTCAGAATGCAATATGGGGGTCTTAGAGGCGGGACAATGATCTTCTTTTTTAATGTTGGTTGGAGTTCATGGGTAAACAGGTTTTAGTTGGAAAATAAGGTATTAGCCGTTTGAAAAAATGTGTTTGCTGGTCTTTTGTTGCTACTTGCTCACAACACCCCCTCCCCTCTTTGTCCAGAAAAAAAGTAGTTGTTTTCCTGGATTGTCCTTTTTGGCATCTTTTTTTTTTTTTTTAAAATTTTCGAGTTCATATTTCTCTGATGAATATTACTTCAAGTGGAATTGAACCCTCTTTTTTCAACTCGAAGTTTAATTTTTTTTATTTGCACTTCAAAGTGAATGTGTTGCTTCTGACTGTGCAAGGTGTGCTAGGGAATTTCTAGAGGTGAACAAAAGATGGGTTGTATGTGTATTTTTACGAAAAAGGAGGAAATAGAATGCGTGCGTGCGTGCGTGAAGGGACATCTATTATTGTCGGACAATTTTTTTCCCAAGGTGATTATAGAACTTTGTAAGTATTTTCTTTGATTCTTTATTTGTTCAGGTGAATCAGCTAATTCAAGTGGATTATGAGAATGGAAAACGGCAGGTGTGGCAATATAAGGTTATTTGATTTTTCAACCCCCCCTCCCAAAAAAAAAGAAAAAACTAAAACCCAAAATTTGGAAAAAAAAAAAAAAAAAAGAAGTGGTGTTTGAAAGATATTTTGCTTTTAGTATTGGTTGTCAAGTGTGCTTAATCCATCTTTACTAAAGATGAACGAGTACATTTGCACTTATTTGTTTTCTCGTATTTGAGTTTGACTCCTCATAAGATCCTTAGTTGTGTTGAACACATTGCCAAATATGGGTTGGTTTGGTTTGGCGATGGAAATTCGTGAAGAATCTGTATACCTTGGCGGCAATCCAAGATCAGTGGGGACTTGAGGTGTAAGAGATGTTTAGGTGTAGGTGGTCTCAACACTTGTTGGCTTTGCTTCACTTTTTTTTTTTTCCCTTTTCTTTTCTTTGTAATCCAAAAGTTGTGGCACGCTCTCTTGCATAATCGCTTGATGTATTTGGTTAATGTGGTATCATAGCAGTTGTGATCTGGCAGTCATCGTTAATGTAATGAAGTGGGCTTACTTGAGAGCCAACTACTATATGGTTGTTAGGTAGAGTTGTGCTTCAATGGCTATGGGCCAAAAGCTTGTTTTTCAAGGCCTATTACATGAAAGCCGAGAATTAAAAAAAAAAAAGGCCATGACGGTTCCAGGTGCTTTTTAACCGTGTACATTATTCCTTCACGTGATTCATCTTTCTTTGTTATGTTGTGTGGTACAAGAATTACGTATGCATTCTTCTTATAATCATTNCGTGCGTGAAGGGACATCTATTATTGTCGGACAATTTTTTTCCCAAGGTGATTATGGAACTTTGTAAGTATTTTCTTTGATTCTTTATTTGTTCAGGTGAATCAGCTAATTCAAGTGGATTATGAGAATGGAAAACGGCAGGTGTGGCAATATAAGGTTATTTGATTTTTCAACCCCCCCTCCCAAAAAAAAAAGAAAAAACTAAAACCCAAAATTTGGAAAAAAAAAAAAAAAAAAGAAGTGGTGTTTGAAAGATATTTTGCTTTTAGTATTGGTTGTCAAGTGTGCTTAATCCATCTTTACTAAAGATGAACGAGTACATTTGCACTTATTTGTTTTCTCGTATTTGAGTTTGACTCCTCATAAGATCCTTAGTTGTGTTGAACACATTGCCAAATATGGGTTGGTTTGGTTTGGCGATGGAAATTCGTGAAGAATCTGTATACCTTGGCGGCAATCCAAGATCAGTGGGGACTTGAGGTGTAAGAGATGTTTAGGTGTAGGTGGTCTCAACACTTGTTGGCTTTGCTTCACTTTTTTTTTTTCCCTTTTCTTTTCTTTGTAATCCAAAAGTTGTGGCACGCTCTCTTGCATAATCGCTTGATGTATTTGGTTAATGTGGTATCATAGCAGTTGTGATCTGGCAGTCATCGTTAATGTAATGAAGTGGGCTTACTTGAGAGCCAACTACTATATGGTTGTTAGGTAGAGTTGTGCTTCAATGGCTATGGGCCAAAAGCTTGTTTTTCAAGGCCTATTACATGAAAGCCGAGAATTAAAAAAAAAAAAGGCCATGACGGTTCCAGGTGCTTTTTAACCGTGTACATTATTCCTTCACGTGATTCATCTTTCTTTGTAATGTTGTGTGGTACAAGAATTACGTATGCATTCTTCTTATAATCATTTTTTCCTCTCATATGTCTAAAATCATATAGTCGATCTTCTCGACTCTTATCAGACCTGATCGTGAGGGAAAAATCTGACGTTGAACTGTTTCTCATTTTTTATTTGGTGTAGTTTTCAAAATCAAAAAACCTCNTGCGAGGGAAAAATCAGACGTTGAACTGTTTCTCATTTTTTATTTGGTGTAGTTTTCAAAATCAAAAAACCTCATACCGGAGGCTCCTATTTACTCATTCCAATGGTTAGAGTTGAGTGCGTCTATTAGAATCTTGTTCATAACAGCGCCTGCACACAAAGACGCATGCTCTTGCACCCCGCGCCAGCAACCATAAAAGCTAAATTCCGCATAATATGGTCACTATTTGCCTTGGTCAACGACATAGCACTAGTCACTAAAAGCTCTATGATGATGTGCCTCATACGGCATTAATAGACCATCCACCATCAACGAAGAACGATAAATAAAGCTAAGGTCCAGCACAGTTTCATAAAGCATAAGGTGACATTAGAAAGTTTCTACAGCTCATCTCAAGAGAGCACTTGTGTGCGTATAGAGAGACAGACTGTCATTCCCTTATTCTGTTGAAAACAAATGAAATTGCATCATGGAAATACTTTTGGTAGGTGTATACCTTAGCTGAATAATGCTACATCCCATGAGTAATCCACAACTAGGAGCCCAACGCTTAACCAAAAACAGTATAATACTTGCCTTCCGTGTGTTGGGTTCTTCTTCCATGGCCTTCATCTCCCACATCAGCGGCACAAATTATGGACAGATAAGGTTGAGATACCATTATTATCAACAGTTGGAACTTCAGAAGGTATCAACAATACCAGATCCCACCAAGAGTGATGATAGTTGAAGGCTTCGTCCCACGTGGCCATCATTTTTCCTTGAATAGCTGGAACTTCAGACTGTATCATCCACCCCCACCCCCACCAGGAGTACTGATACGGTACACATGGTGCCAAGCACAACGCTATCTCTGTGCTTTACGAGACAGAAAGCGGTCACGAGCTGCTTGTATCCTAGCATCACGGTCTTCAGGTGGCCCACCAGTATTAACATCTTTTTTCAGCAGGATCGAGTTTTCTCCTTCGCTCCTCTCTTCAGATTGACTTGATCCACCACTGCTTCATACAAATAAGGCTCACGCTCAATGAAATAACACAAAAAAGGCTGACTAACAACTAAAAATGGAACATCTGAATATTTCCCAGGAAAAACAGGTTTACCTGAGTTTGTTGATGTTAATCATCTCAAGCTTCTTCAAAATAGGCATGACCCATGACATCTCCACTGCACACACATTCCGCATAAATGGACGCGATGTAGCAATAAGTTCATGGTAGACAACGTAATTTGGGAGCATTCCCTCTTCATCTGTTCTCAAAACAGAGGATGGATGCACCTAAGAAAAAGTATATTGGACATCGGGCATATTTGAAACAAAGAAACTGAAAAATAGAGCTGTGCATAAACTACTAGCAGCTAGTTCAGGAGTCTAAAAACCTCAGCTACTAATCATTTTTTTACAGTGGTTGTACATGACATGGTAACATAATTGCATATGACGTTGTAACGTAAAGTACCTGAACAAGTTGGGACTTGAAACCAAGAGTTCTATAACCATTATGACGTATCATTCGCTCAGCAAGCTGGCTTGCATAGCCAACAGACAAAGCGTTCCTCAACTTCCTATAAGCCTGTCGGCTTTCTTTCCATCTTTCACTTGTACGTACATCTAAGGACCCTGTTTTCCATAGACAACATAACCTAACATGAGAAATTTTGTTTCCAGTGATGATAAGTAGTACAATGTCCTCACTGAGACTTGAACCCTCTGCCTCCTTGTGTCTGAGGCAGAAGAAACCGCTCAAGTTAACAGCTCGTGGTATGAGAAATAAGAGAGACAATGTTCAAGTGTAGCAGGAAGCAGCAGGGGTAAGAAAAACAAAAACAACAGCCAAGTCAACAAAAGAATTGAAAGACAAAGTCCTACATTATAGGTCAAAATAGCAAATGCATCTATACAATTGCGACCTACATGTAGATGATATGCAGGTCAAGAGGCTCCTTTCTGCCATGCTCATCCCATCTTATATTGGACTTGGCCAACTATACCCCAAATTATGCATATCTCAGGCACCCAGCAGCATTCTCATGACCAGAATTTTATTTGTATTTTTTTTGCTATTTTATTCAGTCACATCACCTGCCTGGTTAGGCTCCAATGATCTGCACTTGCTGCAAAGTAAACCGCTTTCTTCTCTCGAGTTAGTTGCATGCTGTTTCTCTGTTGTACCCTATATGTGGCTTGCTAATAAGATCATATGCTGTTCTCTTGTGCTGTGTTTTTTTTTCAATTGTGTGCTTGGTTGTTGTGTGTGCATTTTGTATGCCTGGATTTTGATGTGATCATGGCCAACATTACTGTGATTAAAAAGTTACTTTCTGAATGTGGAATCAGTTTTGCCAAGTAAACAACACCCAAACTTCGGTGCACAAGTTACATAAATATTAGCCGAAATAGTAGGGAGAACAGCTGAGCTACAAAAGTGAACAGAAAAAAAAGATATGCATTTTCGGTAAATCATGAGATCAGACTAGAGCGTATGCTATACTTGTGAAAAGCTACTAAAAATAGAAGAGAATGAAAAAAATAATAGGACACAGAATGATGTATCCGACAAAGCAGAACAATCAAAAAGATGCATCAGACACAATGTCATCGTTCACATATCTTTTGTACAGGACCACATTGTCCATTCAAAGCACCAGCAATGCATGCTTACAGGACAATGTCTCTGATAATACTATTTGCAGCCATGCACAGCTAGAAGAAATCCTAAGTTTGTTAAAGTTACAAATCAAAAAGAGCTATTTCTATGGGGGAAGTACTCAGAGAAACTTGATATACCTCAACAGCAGACAATTCATGTGACGAACAAAACAAAAGCCAGAAAATATCTAAAGCAGAAAATCAAGGTAGAACTTTGAGCTACATATTTCGCAACACAGAATGCCCTCAGCAGTGTTGATCCCTAACCTTTTGCAACCTTTTGCATTATTTGAGATAATTGTTTTCGAACATCTTTGACAAACATCATCCCTCGCACCTACAATCAGAAAGACCCAACAGAAATCATGTTGCGAACACAGGCGCACAGGCAATCAAATATCTCAATTTTAATTGTCTGCCTGGTTTGATGTCTATTTTTTTTGGGGATTTGCTTCATTTTAGTCCACTACTAGGCTCCTAGTTAAATCAAATGCAAAAGGATAATCAGAACACACTAGTTCCTTGCCAAGTGACAAAATAAACAGTTAATGCCTGAATTACATCAGAACTGGAGTCCACACAAGGCTGCCCTAGAATGATGGCTACAATACTTTTTTATAATAGTTCCAAGGAGCCAGAGGTTGTATATTGAGAATTACATGTACAATTATTCTTGTAGCATGTATATAAATTAGCTTCCTAGAAAGGACTGCAGAAAGGTACCTGTAAGTTGTTGTCTTTACACCAATCTACGCTGTAGTCGGTCTGATCCCAATGCTCATAGATCTGAAGTAATTGGATGTGATCACCCCAGCCAGAACCATCAGGAAGGTCCGAAGGAGGGTGCTTCCTCTTCTTTTCAGTGCTCTTGCTGCAGACCGAGAGAAGACAATAATGACATCAAAGAATAATTTTAGCATGGGAACGTAGAGGAGGGCACAAATTTATTGTAAACTATATAAATATAAATACAACTAATAAAACAACCATACGATCCCCAACAAAATTTCTATGAAAAGATGGAAAAAGTAATTATTCATTTTGTCAGAAAATGAAGTAATTCTGTACTGCTATACCTGCAAACACAGTCAAGATGCAAGGATTTGAAAGATGAATATGTGCCAACATCAGCATAATAAGAATGCTTAAAAATTATTACCAACTGCAATCATTATCGAGAGATTCTTTTAGAAAAACGTCATTATACTCATTTTGTCCCCTGTTACTCAAGGCTACTAGACATATGTAATGAATAGAGGTAAAATTTGGTATTATTTGTACAAAGGGTCTGTCTTAAATTCGGATCTGCAACCCGGTAGTTTTTTTCGGGGTAAAACCTCATAGTTTTTAGCCCCACACTTCTTCCACTACACCAGGCAATGGCCCCCACAATGGAGACTTCATAACAAAAAATAATAATTCATCACACAAAATTCACAGAACCACTGGGTAGATAAATTCAACGATTATTGTAACCATTGGTTGAGGTAATTGATCCAAACTGCTTACTGATATATAAATGCTGGTTCTAACACTTAGATAAATAATGCACATTTGCATCATTTATACAGGGACAGCAAGGAAAAACATCAAAGAAGAAACTATTATTACATAGAGCCACTAGTTCGCCATTTATCATAACCACTACAACTGAATTTATAACCACTACAACTGAATTTATAACCTTTCCTAAAGTAACGGAGAAATAGATTCCTTCTATTAATCATTGGAAACCATGACAAATGTTTTGCGAGTGCACTGGTGGTATGATTTAGGTTCGCAATGATGATGATTGGCCAGAGATTGTATGACAATAAGCTGATAGGAAGTGCAGAGAGCAGGACAGCTTAGAAGCCTCTGCTGGAAACTCCACTAGGTACATGCAAACGGGCAAAGGACCTGCAAAAATATCAGGCCAGAGTTTCTATCTTTCCAGGGTAAAATGTAAAACTAGAGAATGCTGCGGGTATTATTCTGTTCTCATCTTGTTCCATGAATTATGTAGCTTCATATCAGTTGAAGTCTTATCCACTTCCCAAAGACATTTTATCAGCACAAGAATAGAAAAGGACAAAAAAAAAAAATTGTTGCAGCCAGCTACTCTCCATTTGCTTATTTGAATGTAATTCGAGCAATGGATTTCTTGCCTTCTGAGATCAACGAATTTTGCATGCTCTTCATGATACAGTTTTACTTGTTTATAGAATTGTATATAACACTTGAGATAACTTGCAAAAAAATCCAGCATTCGCAACTACAAGTATGCTACAGAAAAATTGAAGAATCTACCTTCGACCTGCAATCAATGTGGTTTCTGCAGATAACATAGCAGCAACTGTCAAAGCCTGGGATAAGCAACCACACTCATTTGCTTCCAATAAGGTTCTTGAGAGGGAAGGCTCTAAAGGAAGTTCTGCATAAAGCACAGAAAAATTCTCGGTGAACACAGAAAACAAACATCTTTCCTTGGGGAACTAAATTCAACACAATAGGCTTTCAAATAATTATCCACCCAATTTTCAAAACCGATACAATGACTCTAGATACAATTCAAAAAGAAATAGTCCAAATCTAATTTCTTTCCCCCTTTCTTACATGTCTTTAGTAAGCTAACATATTAAGTTTTTAACTTAGAAAAGGATTCAGTACCAGCCATTGTTCGTCCAACACTTGTAATGGATCCATTATCATCAATAGCATCAATGAGATATAACTGCTTCAGAGCATCTTCTAATGACTCAGCTGCAGCAAAGCCATTGAGATGTAATCACTGAATACTTGTACAGAGATATTGTGAGCAATAAAACCTGAACACTGAAGAGTAGGAAGAACAGAGTTTTCTCACATGAAGGGGGATCAAGGAAGTTAAATTTGAGAATATCAATATCAGGGAGGTCCAACGATTTCAAATAAAGGACACTCCCTGCAAGAGATGACCGCTGTATTTCAGGAACTGTAGCATCCAAAAAATCATCATGGTAAACCATGGATGGGTATAACCGGTAGCATTTCCCAGGACATGTTCTTCCAGCTCGTCCTGCACGCTGATTGGCTTGCACCCTTTCAATCATACAAAGCTACAAGCTCAAAATTTGTAGTGATTACAAATGGAAATCATTTGGAAGAAAAATATCTTTGTGGTGTGGTGTTACTGAATGCTGCAAAAAACAATAACTCATAGATTCAAATTCTTACTTGCTAATTGGAACAACATCAAGGGAATACATGCCAGTTGATGGGTTGTATTGCCGTTGCTTCACATAACCGGAATCAACAACGTACCTATCACCAAAATGAAGTATGTTAACAGGAGAGTGCTACCTAAATTTACTCAAAATACTGATCAACCAACATTTTTTCTTTTGGCATTCACATATTTGCTTACTACAGAAAAAAACAACAAAAAGGTAAATTTTAGTACAATTTCAAGCAGCGGCTAACAGGAAGCAGAAGAAATATATATACAGGGAAACAAATCACTAAGATTCACAAATATTCTATTGTAGCAAAAGAGCAGAGCAATCTTACTCTTACATGCAGTAGTATAATAAATACTTCAATTATTTATCCTTTTGCATTTCTCTGGGAAAGACCAATTGTAACAGCCATTAAAAACATATTTCAATCATGTACAAAAAGGGATATATTGTGATAGCGAGAAAGGGTTAAGATAATCAAAGTGAGTAAACTATAAAAATATGTAAAATAAGAGAGGATATGTTCCTCATATCTTCCACACTTATGTCTATGGCTGTCCATATTAATCAGCCAAGAACAGATTCAAGTGCTTTGTGATTACACGTCCACGATGCCTAATGGTCTATTTTATTTCCTCCAGGAGTCTTCTTTAGAAAAAAACCCTTTTATTATATGTTGGTATTCTCAAAATAACCTTGTTGATCTTCATAAAAAAGTTTATCCATAAAGGTATTGTTGAATAACATGGGTATCCTAGTTTTTGGCCTTGAGAATATAGCATTGCAAATCATATGCAACATCCTTTTACAGAACACAAGGAGATAAACAGTGATTATGAAGGTCAAAATTAAACTCTTTTAACTATGCGCAGATACATTTATCATGCAAGTGCCAAGCATCCTTACACAACACCGTCAACAGTCAAAGAAGTTTCAGCAATGTTTGTAGCAACAATAAATCGCCTACAGTCTGGAAGCGCAGGATGGAATACACGTACCTACAGGGTTAACAAAACATGAAGAATCAACAATTAAACAAAGAGAAATAGGTCAAACTACAGCTAGAAAAAAGAATGCAATCCCAGCTCTACTTATCAATTCAAAAGATGAACTGCAAAGATAAGAAAAAAAAGTCAACATCAACCTCAATAGATGATGTCGAAAAGTATATACAAATTAGCAAAACCACGTAACAAGGGCTGATCTAAGAGTGCTAATATTTTCCCATTCATTGCAAAGTAGTGCATAATAGTAAAGGTCATTACCCAGTGTGGTCCTACTTACACAAGCTCCATGAGAGGGCAGACAAAAACAGACCTAACATTTATGCAGTACATTGGTTTCACCACAAAAGTAAAAAATAACACAGATATTTTAAGGGGGTGGCAGATTATTCCCCAAAAAATAAATATGATATTTTATGCACCTCACCTTGTAGTTCACAATGTTCTTTACTATGACTGATAGATACACATATTATCAGGGGTGATATACTTTTTTTCCTCTCCAATAATTAATAATACAACATAATTTTTCAATACAAATTACGAGTAAGAGAATTATTAGTTATCTACCATGGAATGAAGCTGGTCCCTCAAAGTTACTAGTTAATAGCATTATTGAGTCATAGAATGTCAGTTATAAGAAGGTTGATTGATAGGACAAGTCAAATTTTCATCATTAGGCAACAACGAAAATAAAAACAGCAACAAAAGATCTACTGGGAGGGCGAAGTCTATTAATTTCTTCGCTATCCAAACACACCCCATTTCAATCAGAATACTTTAAAAATGGAATAAATTGATTCTATTGAATTAAATCCTCAAGAAAGAAACCCAAAAGCATAGTAAAAATTAGTCAATACTATTTCTGCAAAATCTTCACATCACTCTCAGCCCATGCCAAATGTCATGCCCATCGTAATGAGCTGATCAACAAACAACCATAAAAGGATTTTGAAACATGGGTTACAAATAAAGAGGAAATTAAGAACCTTCAATGCACTTGGACAGATGGCGTTCGTGAATGTGCTATCATGCGAAGTAATACTACTCAAAGTTGGGACAGGCAAGAGTAGTTGCTCACATACCACATGAGTCCTTTAAAGGCCATCCAATTTGAGAAAACCATGAAGCAACTGATATATAAGCAGCAAGACTATAGAATAAGGTTTGTAGGAATTTATCAAAACAAGATAAATAGACAAAACTTGCCTGCATTTCAGGTGGCAAAGATCCATGAAGGGGAAGTATTATGGCATCCATGCAAGACCCTTTTGCAAGGCCTAGAATTTTCTCCTCCAATTTAGATACCAACTTCTCTATGTCATCCTATAGAAAACCTCATGTGAAAAGCTTCCAATCAAAATGCGCAAGGTGCAGTAAACATAAGAACTATGAGTTATTACTCCAATAATATTCCATGCTATGCATGACATAGAAAATGCTAACCTGTCCTGTCATGAATATTAAGACATCCCCTTCTGGTTCTCGAACATGTATATCTATTGAAGCAAATTGGTCAGCACAATCTCAAGCAAACTGAAATCCAAAACAAAAGAATATGTTCCATAATGCAAACAACAACATAGTCCCCTAGATATGCAATGCAGAAGGAAGGATAATAAAGAACTGAAGCAACAAAACCAAGCTAACGGACATGTAAATGAGAATGCATTGAAACCCAAAGTTGCAGTCATACCAATAGCTGTTTTCAGAGAAGACTCGATATAATTTTTGGGGCGCTCTGAGCTGTAGAGTATTTCCACAGGAAATAACTTCCCTGGGACTGTCAGGATGGGGCAACTAGAGAAGAATCTTGATACTTTTTCACCATCAAGAGTAGCTGAAGTGATCAAAACTTTCAAATTGGAGGCACGCAATTTAATCAACCGTTTCATCAGTCCCAGCAATATATCCCTGACCATATATGCTTCCTTAAACGAAGTGCATTTTATACAGAGCAAATAATAATCTGAATGGAAATATACAGAATAATCAAACATACACACTATAGAAGTTCCAATAACCCGAAAATTTTCCAGTTTCCATTAGTATATTCTATGGAACACAATATGGCGTTGGAAAAGGACCCAAAACAAAATAGATTCATAGTTCAAACCATGTCAAGGAAGCATGGGAAACAAGCCTTACGTGTTTAGACTCCTCTCATGAGCTTCGTCCAATATGATTACTGAATACTGATCTAGCTCAGGGTTAGAAAGACTTTCTCGGAGGAGGACTCCATCAGTAAGGTATCTGGGCATTATAACAACCCCAAGTTAGTGACCAGCAGAGTAGAAAACTAGAAATGGCCATTAAGCTTGAAATCAACTTTTAGCCAAAAAAAAAAAAGAACACATTACTTGATAGGTATATTCTCTCTATTGAACACATTACTTGATAGGTGTATTCTCTCTATCGACAAATGTGTGTCCATATTAATATCCATTGAGCTTAAAATGGGATTAGGGTTTGTATATTAGTTAGACTACTTGTCGATTTAAGAAGGCTTTTATTGGTTGTGTTCCGTAACACATGTATTTGTGATCATAGTTTATTTGAGCTCTGACTAGGGGTTGGGCACAATTAGCCACTTTTCTATAGAATTGGTTCTCCTTGTTCAAGGCTTCCAAATGCCATGTCTACTTCATATGTGATTTCTCCTATTCCAATTCGGAAAAATGAGTTGGCAAACTACAGATAACCATTAAGTTAAAAATCATCTTCCAGGAGTAAAATCACATTACTTAATACGTGTTTTCTCTGAAGTTCTATCTTCAAAACGAATGGCGAAGCCCACTTCCTCCCCAAGCTGAACACCAAGCTCTTGCGCCACCCGTCTGTGCATAACAAAAATAAAAGTAAAAGGAGACATAAAAGTTTGTCAATAGTGTACAATCCAGCACATGATAAGCCTTGAAATCACTGGATTATAACCAGACTAACCATGCATATTGTGCTGTAAAACTTGCAAATTGCTCAACCAAACTAACCAAAGGTAAATCAAGTCTCCAATTCTCATATCTAAGCTTTAAACTTTTTCCTAGTTCCATTAACATACTGTAAGCATCAAAGTTTCTAATTCATAAGTTTTGCAACTGTACATCTCAAATTACATATCTATAGAAAGAAAACAACCTAATGACCTTTAATTTATCACATTGGTAACAATTTTCTCAGCAATCAAAACTTAATTTTCATTAATAAATCAAATGAAGAGCTCCTCCAAGCAATACTCTCATCGCAATCTGATTCACAGGTATGCATATACAAACGCAGACATAAATATAGAGATGTATGCTATGGAGAGTAAGAATATCACCTTGCAACTGAAACAGCTGCGACTCGTCGGGGCTGAGTAACGGCAATGACGCCAGAATTGGTGTAACCTCTTTTGTATAGCATCTGAGAGAGCTGAGTACTCTTCCCTGAACCGGTCTCTCCTATAATCACCACCACCGGGTTTTTTTCCACTGTTTCTACGATCTTCTCTTCAAATCGGAGGATCGGAAGATTTGCCATTGATCAAAACAATAAAGCAAAGCTCGACTCTGCAGGGTACTGATAAATCAAGTGAAATCAATGCTCAAACGAAACAGCAAGGGTTTTAGAGGTTGCCCCTTCCTTTCGCCGAATGATTTTCGTTTTGCGCTGGCCTCCGACTCCGACTGAAATTGGTTCGGGTAACGGGTTGATTCCTTTTGGGTTAATCGCACTTTGTACCTGAAAAAATGCTTGAATTCTCAATTGGAACCCTAAAATATTTCTATTCTCAAATTTCACCCATAATCGTTTGTTTTATTCCAAAGTGGCTCCGTCCATCGTCTGTTCTGTACAATTATACACCTGAGGCTTGAGGCCCGGTCACCCGGTGTGAACTGGATGAGCATTTTTCTATTCCTTTGGAGCTTTCAAGCTCTTCTGATTTTTTATTTTTTTTTTCAAAATTTATCAATTTCCACCGAGTTTAATTCTTCAAATTTAAATGTATTGAGTTTTTAAACGTAATTCAAGTGAACATGTTTTATAAAACTCTGAAATTGAGCAATTAAAATCTTACGAGACCATGTTATGCATTCTTAAGGGATGGAGTTGTTTCTTAATGCTCTGTTTAGCGGAGAAGATAGAAAGTAAGAAGGATATATTTTTTATTCTTTAAGAATGAAAAGTAGAAATAATACACTTTTTTTCCTTTTTGTTTGGTTGGATGAATGGAAAATAAAAATAACTATTTTTTTTTTTTTGGTGATGGCTAAGTTTAGGGGTGACAATCGAGTCGTGTCATATCAAATTCATGTTGAGTCATTACGAGTTTGTGTCGAATATTAATCAAACCTACCTTAACTCATTTAACTTATTGTGTTGTGTCGAATTGTGAGTTAACCTGTTTATTTTCTTATCGAATTCGAGTCGTGTTATCGTGTTAAGTTAAAAAATTTCACCCTTAATTAAGATGAAAAAAATATTTTTTTTTTAATTTAAAATTTTTATTTTTATTTTTATATTAATAATTTTTAATTTTTTTTTTAATTAATATATATATTACTATTGTATTTTTATATGAAACTAATATATACATAATATATGAATATATAAAGATATATAGACAAATATGATACATCTCAACATAAATAATTAACTTTTCATCCACTTTCCTTCCGATTTTGGACGGATTAATTTTGATGAGTTAGAAAGAAAATTAATCTAACCACTTTTTCATCCTTCTTACTTTCTTTCCTTACCAAACAAATATTTTATTTATCCTTCCAACTTTCCATCTTTTCAACTTTTTATCCTACCATTTTTCCATCATTTTTCCATCTTACTAGACGGAGCATTAGATTTGATCAATCTCGCTGGTGGTTGTTAAGGGCCAA